TATTTCAAGTCTGGTGCAAAAACACATGATCGCACCGGCTCGCCTGGTGCGTTCCAGCCTGGGTTGTGTTTTTGCTGTGGAGCGAGCAAAAACGCATATAGCCGAGAGGTTGTCTGTGCGTGTTCGGAGACGAGTGAATTTTGTCACCCACTTTCATTTCAGCAACCGGGGAAGTTGGGAGGCTGAAATTTTGGGTATATGTTCCTCCCCGTGTGTCATCCTCCAGTTTTAAACTCTTCGCTCATACGCACCTAGACCTCGCTCATACGCACCTGGACCTGGACCTCTGAAAAAATATGCGGATTACTTTAGCCGAAAACGATCTCGTGAGCCGGGCAAAGTACAAAGCTGAAACCTTGCAGGGATTTTCTTTGTGCATGTGCGAGCTAAAGATTTCAAATTCAGCGGTCGCTCACGCTTGTGCAGCGCGTACGATCATGTCAAAGTTTGCACTTGGCACTGCGCTAACTCGAAAAACTAAATGAAAAACAGTGGCATTTTATTAGCAAATTTGTCGCCCATATGGGAGAACGTATACCTAAATTGAGTACAGATTTGCATTTGCGCCACGACTTAAGTCACTTCAAAGATATTTGAAGTGACTTAAAGCGAAATGGATACTTCGCTCACTTCAAAGCGAAATGGATACTTCGCTTACTGGGTAAGGTATGAGGCTGAAACTTCGCTGGGATATTCTGTTTTCCTGCACAGTCTTTATTCTGCTTGGAGGTGAAATTTCCTGCAGGTGGTTATGTGAAATGCTCAACTTTACCGCAAACATTTTGCAACGAACGACCGCCCTCATCCCCTTCCAACATCCAGTCAATACGTATTTGGATTTCTACACGAATAACCACTAGAGGAAAACTGTTTATTTTTATTTATGCAGAATTAACGATGATTTACGATAGTGAGCGCACAAGGTACTTATGTAGCAATCACTCATGTAGTTAACGACCTGATTATTTCAAGTCTGGTGCAAAAACGTATGATCGTACCGGCAAGCCTGGAGCGTTCCGGCGCGGGTTACATTCACATACATGCAGAAACGCATAAAAAAGAATCATACTTGCACGAGGTTCAACGGCTCTATGATGCAGTACTATCATTCCAGCTGACGCCTTTCCCTCTGTATACAGAAAAGGCCGAAACAATTCCAATATGAGTCCACTTGTTAAGCCACAACGCAGGAAACATTCTTGCTGTTAACGATCTGAACGCTGCAAGTTTAGCGCTATAACGCTCGATCGTATCGGCAAGCCTGGTGCGTTGCAGCATGATATAAATATTAAAAAAGTTTCTAGCAAACTGCACAGGATGAACATGAACTAGAGTTGGCACTGTTCAGTGTTAGTGTAAAAACCTTCATCAATGCAACTTTCGCTCAAAAATAATTTTATAAAATGCCTTCCAACGCAATTTCTTCATTTTGCAGAAGAGATCCACTCATGAATACTGAAATCCATTCTCTACGGTACTGTTTCGAATTGTGTTTGAAGTTACAGTTGTCTTGCTGGTGCGAAATTTAGTTTCTTTTCCTACATAATTGCTCGAGGATCACTACGGATACGAACAATAACTTTTATAAAATGACCTGTTGCAAAAGATGCTTCTTTTTGCAGGATGCCGTGGAGGGTGGAAAACTTTTGCTGTCTGACCACTCACTGCTTGAGAAATGCGTAAAAAAGAAGCGCGAAGAACTGGAACGTTTGCATAGTGAACCGTTGGACGTTAGCGATCGTCTTGTGGATAGTCATGAATCCACGCCATCTCGATCATCTGCTTCAGAATTGATGCGAGCCTGTTCCGGTATGAGCTTTTGGAAACAAACTGTGCAGTAGCCTTCCACTTGCCTAAAAGCGTGAAATTGATTAAAATGCAAAACCTCCCCGTATTATTCACTTTAAGCGCTTTCTAGTGCAAATACAGTTTTCTTTTTTATTCAGTGCCACTACATCTTCTTGCTGCGTCCTTTCGCATCGTCGTAACTGTTTGTCATTGCCCACCCACAGCTCAAAAGACAGCTTTACTGCTTTTTCGAGAGAAAGAACGAGAAGAGAAGCTTAAATCTCCCTTCACTGCCTCCGTCAAAATGATCTAATTCTTAACTTAAAAATCCCGTCCGGATCAGTGGAGAAAAATATCGCCCGTCAACAAAATATGGTGGGGAGTTACATTCCACGATGGAATTAGTCACATCGCTTGGTAATGAATCATTTCCGACGTGTTCGTTTTGTCGCCGGAAGTTTGGATCAAAAGCCAAGCTAATTCTCATCGGAGTGCACAGAGGAGCGTGTTACCATCACATCGTTGTCTCAGTCAGATGAAAATATACATTTTCATTTTCAAAAAAGTTTTGTAGATCTTACACCGACTAGTGGTTGCAGCTCGGGTGTTGGAACCAGCTCGTGAGGTGCCATACATTACGGCACCAAGTCGTTCACGTTTGGGTAGCGTCGAGGTGGAGCCAGCTGTCTTAAAACAAACGCAAAAGGCATCAATCTCGGGAAATAACAAAATGATGGAACTATTAGCCTCCGGAGAACGAATGCTTTCAGCCAGCTATCATGGCTTGAAGCTTTCGCCCATCAGCAACAGGTAATGCATATAAATCCTGCGCTAATTTTTTTTTTTTTTTCTGCCCTAATTTTCAGTCCACCTTCGTAGGATAAGCTTTCGGCAATTTCTCGTTCAAGTGTCATGTCATTAGATTTCTCGTTCAAGTGTCATGTCATTAGTCAGGAACCGAACAACACAAGAAAATTTTTTTTCTTTCGCGTTTCAATACTTGTACCAGAATATGTTTAGCAAACTAAATTTAATGAAGCTCAAACGCTAGTGGCGAACATTGCTGATCAAATGATGCGCCGACTGAAAGAATATTGAGCAGTGCTGTTTTGCCCAAGGAGCGTATCCGCTTCTTTTATTGTTTGAGTTCGCTAACTTTTAAAGATTTAAAAAATCTAACTAAACGAATTGTAAACCTTTTCTGCTTTTACTAGGGATTACTCCATGAGACAAACAAACGGATCACCCGCTTCATGCTTGATAAATTTTATAAGAAATAAGTGAGTTTTTCAGATCACAGCGTTCAAAGTCGGTGACAAAGCCAACAACGTTTGAATTTGATGCGCCCATGTCACCATTTGAACAACGCCTACAGAACCAGGCACTTCAGCTTCGAAAAATTTCGGCTCTCTCTGAAAACGATGTTTCGGATGAGCAGGTTTGTGTTTCCTTGGTGATTCAAAGACTGGCTAGACTAATCAAATATTCTCTTTCGGAAACGACCAGTGTACAAAGTATTGAAAGATCAGTTGATGAAGCATCACTTCTGTACAAAACAAACAGCATAGTTCGGCCCTCTATATCTGCTGTAATATCATTCCAACAGTGTTTTTGTCTCCTGAGTTTTTTTTTTTTTTTTTTGTCCCTTCGTTTCCAAGCAAGTTGAAAACTTAAAATCAAAGCTTTATCGCTAATTTGCTGTTAGACGAAACACTCTCTCAAACAGCTCTAGCGGCAGCGCCCTAACTGCCAATAAGCTGCTGATGCTTTTCCCAAGCAAAGCCTGGGCGCAAGCTGAGCACATCAGTACCAGCTTACCATCGAATCGAATCAACAAATTGTGAAGCTGTACCCCACTGAAGACATGGACAGTGGTTTTAAAATATACCTTTAAAACACTAGCCAAATATTGTCGCTGTCTTTTTTTGCTTATTTTTACCCAATTTTGCGTTACTGGTGCAAAAATGTGTTACGATAATGACTTTCTCTTTCTCTGTCTCTCTCTCTATATACATGTACATATATATATTCATATACATACATATATATAATTTCATATATGTATATATACATGAAATTTCAGACGAATTTCATGTCTGAAATTTTGAGAACAAGCTCTTCAGCCATGCGCAAGCACTGGAAAAAATATTTAGTTCACCGAACCTCTTAATTCATGACTTCAGGTCGGAAGTTACATAAATTTCATAATTTATTGACCAAAACAAAGTCCTTGAATGCGCAGTCATTCATGTATCCTAAACCAAATTATACTTCGTGTGCTCTAATCTGTTACATCAAAGAGGAGTTTTTACTATTTTCACAGCTGAAGCATAACTGGAGCTACTTACTGAAAATCTTATACCCTATTTCTGTCAAAAACTTAAACACATCAGTCGTAAGCGCATCTCGGATTCTAATCAGCGAATGCGGTGGCAAGCAGTAGCGTTGCTGTCTCGCTGAACAGCTAATGTTCAATTTCGCCAGTGGGCCTCTCCATTCCCTTTGCTATCATTTTTTTGTTCTGATGATTGGCTAATACTGGTGCAAGCTAATTTAGTCAAGTCCACCGTCAGTTTGCTTCTGAGCATCTCGCGGAAAAGGAAGCCATCTGCAGCTCTTGTCGATGCGTGTTTGCTGTTTTCACGCGCTAAACTTATGCTGCCACCCGAGTGGCTCTGCCTCTCATAGAAAGTGAATGTGGAGGGGTTTTGATGTCGTGTTTTGCACAATTTGAAAAAATTGGTGGGGACCGATTTGTAAACATGAAGGCTTTTATCATTCAATATTGACTGAAAAAGAGCTCTTCAAATTAAGCAGTCATCGCGGGGATGGCAAATTGCCGTTATATATGAGCGTGAGGAGTGGAATCAGCAGACAGCTGTTTCACATGACAGATTTCAACCACCGTTTCTTTCATCCAAATGGTTATTTCACTGGATTTATATTTTTTTAAACCCCTCTGCTCAAATAGCTGCTGTAAAGCACTTAATTTTACTGAGGGCAATCATCTGCTGAAAGCAAGCTCTACATTTGGCGTCTAATCAAAGAGTGTATGTGAATGTGTTCTTTTTTATTTAAGCATTATTTAAGCATCGCTTTTTTATTTTTTTTTTTAGTTTCTAGAGGGAAACAGCATACTTACCGCAACATTGCTAATATGCATTTTACTACCATTCTGGCAAATACTGACTCAAAATTACTTCTGTAGTTGGTAATCAAAGAAAGACGCCGAATGAAAGAGGCTACAAGGGAAGGCAATGAAGGGAATGTGGGAGAAGGCAAAGAGGGACGGATTGATGAGGTGTGCATGGGGAGGTATCTTATAAGGATGAGTGGAGGAAAAGCGTGTTTTTTTCGGCAATCGCTTAACAAACATAAAGTAGTGCTCAACGAACGTCGTAGTCAAAGCTCATAGGTAATTCAATTGCCTGTTTTCCTATATCTTGCGTTACTGTTGGCCGTAATTGATATTTATATTATTTTGACTGATCAAGCAGATGCCAAGAAAGCTTTAAAATTATTCACTATATCAAAGCTTTTCTCCTTCCTAGCTTTCATGGTCGTTAATTTGTCGTGAAACAAGTTTTCAGCAGCAAAACATTCAGGGGGGATTTTCCCAGCATGTTTTGCTTTCATTTTCATTGAAGCGAACCTGCTTTTATTACAAGAAAATTCGAGTACCATTAAATACATCGAATTTGCACCGGAACCATTATTTATCTGCTGCTACTGACTGAAAGTTATATAAGTGCATGAAATATTTTATATCAAACGCCGTTATAATGCGTTCGAATTTCATTTTCACACTCTTTCGGCGTTTTTAAAGTTTTGCTGCGAGAATTACCTGCCATTTCTTTACTTCCTCTGACCCAAAGTGCTGTTTGCGCCCGTATTTAATAGGCATCCCTTGTCGGCAAGTCATCGCTCTGCTGACAGAAGCGCAGTTGTGTATGTACACATATTGTCTTCACAAATATCTTTGCTACGGAGTCCTGTTCGATGCGTTTTTTTTTTTGAAGAATATGCATCAAGTAGAAACAAATGAGCCATTTTGAAGTCACACTAGTCATTGCTTTAAGCGCTTATTGAACCCAAAACTTCTTCGCATGAGTAACAATGAACATATATTACTGGATATGCCCGGAAAATTTATATGTAATTCACGAATTCTTAAACATGTATATTTATAGGTCTGTACGGCTTTATAGCAGGACGGGGGCAGTACATGTATTTAAAAAAAAAAAAAAAAAACTTTCGAATTTGTGATTTTTTCCCCGGCACGGCTGAGGCAGAACGATTACTAAACACGACTCGGACTGACTGTGCAACATGCATTTATTTTTTGATCCTGATGTGTGCAAAAATTGTGACACTAGACTTTTTACGTGTTTTTGCTGCGCAGCGCTATGGCGCTGCTACAGCCAGCAAAAACGCATATTGTCGCGCGGCTGTGTGTATGTTCGGAAGCGAGTGCATTTTGTCACCCACTTTCATCTCAGCAACCAGGAAAGCTGG